CAGCTTTAGCCTTGGGGGTCCAGGAGAATCTGAGTGCCCCCAAAGAAAGTAGAGGGTCAAGAAGAAGGTTTGATGATGACAAGATAAGAGGAGATGATAGGGCAGGGTAGCCACTTTCAGTTTGTTCTGGAAGACATTAAGGGAGGAATTGGCCAGAAGGGGCGGTGGGGAATAACAGCTACTATTTATTGAGCACTTACTGTGTGCCTGAAGCAGTGCTAAATCCTTTACATTTGTTTTCTGATTTAAGCTTCACAACTACATTATGCCCATTTCATGGGTGGGGACACCGAGGCACAGAGAGAAGTCCTTTCTTCAAGGTCACCCAGCTAGAAAGTGGTCCAGCATCTCCCTCTTCCCCATCACGCACCTCGCCTCTCAGAGTGACGCAGAGATATGCTAGGTGAGCAGGTTAAAGGGAGTTAGCTTGCTCAAGGAAGGCCTGTAGAGAGAGAAAGGAGTACGAAGGAGGGATGTGAACATTCCCCAGAAGGAGTAAGAAAACAGGAGGGGTGTTGGGCAAGAGGGCGTGGTCTCCCGCCAAGGTCAGCACTCTCGAAGGAGAGACTGTTACAAAGGTCAAGCACTTCAGGGAAAACAGGTTGGAACAGAATGGGCGACGAGAAGCCCACTGGCCTTGGCACTGGGGTTCTTGGTGACTTTTAAGACAGCGGTACATGGGGGGCGGAGGGCACGCCATGGAGGGGAAGAATCAGGGGACCAGGAGCATGTGGTCCTAGAGAAATGGGTTTCCAGAAGCTTGGCCATGAGAACAGGAGACAGACAGGACAACCGAGGCCGGAGGCGGGATGCAGGCCAGACTTTGTGGCGGGGCAAGGGGGCTGTGAGTACGTCCGTGACCTGTGCGCCCAGCAGAGCGGGAAGACGGGAGCGGTAAGAAAGCAGTGCTTCCGAGGAGGCAGGAGACAGCATTCTCGTTCATCCCCACGCTCAGAAGAAAGGTCCAGTTTGCACTGATCTGGGACCCCTTCCCAAGGGCTTCATTTATTCCCAAGGGCTTCATCTCTAAGATGGTTCCTGGCTGGCACAGAATTACCTAAGGACTTGAGCTAGCAGACACCAGGATGGTGGGATGGTAAAAAAAAACAAAAAAAAAACAAAAAAAACAAAAAACAGAAAAAAGAAAAGAAAATTTAAAAACCCACAGCATTCTAGAGTCAAGGGATTTTAGGAACCTCTGGCTAAATAAAACAAAACTGGTTTCTTTTTTTTTTAAAGCTCTATTTACTTAGAGAGAAAGAGAGAGAGAGAGAGAGAGAGCATACGCAAGTGCATGAGCTGGGGAGGGGCAGAGGAAGGGAGGGAGAGAATCCCAGGCAGGCTCCATGCTGTCAGCACAGATCCTGATGCGGGGCTCGATCCCATGAACCATGACCTGAGCCGAAATCAAGAGTCGGACGCTAAACTGAGTGAGCCACCCGGGCACCCTTACACCAGTTTCTCTCGTGTCTGAATATCTTGGATCCTTTTCAGCTAATGGACAACCTGAAACTCCAAGAAGCAGTTAAAGAATTCAGAGTCTCCGGTCTCAGGGGCCCCAGAATCTTCATGCCCTGGAGCATCTGCAGAAGTAGCGTTTCCCAGGATGCACACTGGGAAATACTGCTCCAGTGTGCTCGTCAGGAAACGAGGGTTCATCCCACAGCATGGGAAACATTCCCACGTATGTTTGCCAATCCTTGTTCAAAGTAAACTGAGGGTAAAATTACTCCAGTGAAACCCATGGGTTTATCTCCTCCTCTGCGGCACATTCTAATGGCCTGTTTATTTACTTTGTGCTGGAGCCTCCAGCCCACAATAAAGGCCCTTCGACTGAAAAGCATCCATATGGATCTCTCAAAACACTTGCTTAACTAGGCTGGGCTAGGGCTTCTTTATAAAAAACGACTCTCTGCACTAAAAGGGTACTGCTAAAGAAATGAATGTGGTGGGGCGCCTGGGTAGCTCAGTTGGTTAAGCGTCTGACTTTCGCTTAGGTCATGATCTCGCGGTTTGTGGGTTCGAGCCCCGCATCGGGCTCTGTGCTGACTGACGGCTCAGAGCCTGGAGCCTGTTTCAGAGTCTGTGACTCCCTCTCTCTCTGACCCTCCCCTGCTCGCACTGTCTCTCTCTCTCCTAGAAATAAATAAAACATTAAAAAAATTAAAAAAAAAAAAAAAGAAAGAAAGAAATGAATGTGGTTCATGGGCTTTCAGGCCCTGCTGCGCTATAATGTACACTGGCCTCTGGTTTTCCTCAGCCGGACAGGACTTCAGACTGACCCATGCTCTGGTTTCTAAAGAACTGAATTCTTTGAAGAAAAGTGGTCTTCATGTAAAATGTCAAGACAGACAGAGGGTAGTTTAAAAAAGTCAGAGTGACACTGACCTTAACTGGGAAAATGACCGAGAATATGAAAAAAAATTAAGGAGGGAGAAGGAGGGGTGCAGACAGAAAAGGAAAGGAAGGGAGGAGGGAAGGGAGGAGGGAAGGGAGGAGGGAAGGGAGGAGGGAAGGGAGGAGGGGAAGCAGATCTGTTGTGGGGTGTGCAGGGCAGAAGTGGGAATGCAGGAGAGAGGTCTGGCCCTTACGGAGTATCTTCTGTGTTTGGGGACAGGCACAGGGAGAGGTGCTAGAATAAGAGTATTTCTAAAAGTCACATGCAAGGTTGTTTGACAGGAGTTTTAAGAAATGAGAACCAGTGGGGGCACCTGGCTGGCTCAGTCTGTAGAGCATGCGACTCTTGATCTTGAGGCTGTGAGTTCGAGACCCACATTGGATGTAGAGATTACATAAAAATAAAGTCTTCCCCCCCCCAAAAAAAAAAGAGGGGCTCCTGAGTGGCTCAGTTGGTTGAGCGTCCAACTTTGGCTCAGGTCATGATCTCACGGTTCGTGGGTTCAAGCCCCACATCAGGCTCTGTGCTGATAGCTCAGAGCCTGGAGCCTGCTTCAGATTCTGTGTCTCCTCTCTCTGCCCCTCCCAAGTTCACACTCTGTCTCTCAGAAATAAATTTAAAAATGTAAAAAAAAAATTTAAAAAAAAGAAAAGAAAGAAGAACCATCAGACTCCCGAAGAAATATAAGCCACCACTGGAAGAGACCGTGAAGAGCCACGATCAAGTCTGGGCTCCCTTGAGACCTGTATTCTGACAGTAGAAATCTACAAGAAAGATGACCTGCAAACTGAACAACCAGGAAAAGGTGCTGAGAACCAGGATGTGAAGGTAGAGTTGGAAAAAAACCAGAGGTGAGAGTTTCCACCCAGTACGTGCTTCTCTGACATTTCTGCAGGCGCCCAACCCCTGTCCTTTGTTATGTCCTGGACCACACAGCTGATAGCGTGGCACCAAGCACCAACAGCAAAGTTCACCTTGAACCCCACTAAGCCAGTTCTCTGCCAACTCATCAGATATCCACATAAGATAGCGATCCCGAGACCGTGACAGGAAACTTAGAAGTTCCGTGGGGGAAGGAATGAGGAAGAAACACAGCATTCATGATGTGAGGCCGTCAGCTAGAAATCCCTGGCTAATTTGTCAGGCTACTTCAGCTCAATCCCCGTTGAATAGCATCCAGTCTGGACCTGTTATGACAGAGGCCACATTCCTGTTCAGATTGGCAGCGATTCCATTTTAATTTAGCTCAGTTATCATGATTTTCGTTCCTTCTGCTTCAAGGCAGAAAGCACTTTAGCTTAACACCCGGTAGGTTAAAATTATAGCCAGAAATCTACAGGTAGTTCTGATCATTCTAAATGTTTGATGAGGAAAACTAAGGATGGCGAACAGTATACGCGGATCAATGTCTGCCCGGTTTTGGGGCCCAGGGTGGGAGCGGGCCCATTTGGACATGTGATCTCCCCCATGGAGAGCCTTTCCGCACAGGAGAGTGGGAGAGAGGGAGCCTCTGACCAGAGCAGGAGAAATCATTCCCAAAGTGGCATTTAATGCATGTTGCTCTTTCTACAGGTGAAATAGTATGAAAACAAACAAACAAAACCCATGTGGACCAGGGAGCAGAACCTGGCAGCAAAACGAAGGGATCAGGGAGTGACACAAAGTAAGCAGACTTTGGGGGGCCTGGGGGGACAGATGGGCAGTGATGGGAACTTTGGGAAAGCCGGATAGAACCAGAGGCTATTCTGACCGAGGCTGCAGAGACAGGATCCAGAGAGTCAGAAACAGTAATTTCATGGAGATTTCTAGAAAAGAAAATGTAAAGTTATTCAGTTGGAATTTGAAAGACCACGGAAGAAATATCTTCGGCCTGAAATCCAGAGCAAATCTGGGGCCCAAAGAGAAAAGGATCGGCTTCCTTGTGAAGCACAGCTGCTGCAGGAAAAGACCACATTTCCTTGCCAGGGTGGGAGAACCGGTAGAAAATGAACTAGAAAAGCCACGGCAGAAAAAGCATCACCATAAAAGTAAGCTACACTCTGCTGGCCTCAAGGATGGACTGCCTATGGCTGTTTTTAAGAACTATCAGTGCAGTTGAGTAGTTGTGACAGAGATCGCATAGCGCTCAGAGCCTAAAACAGCTATCGTCTGGCCTTGACCCCTGGTCCAGACCCAGCCTTGAAGCTGCCCTGATTCTGGGCAGGTAGGGCCGTGTGCTGCTGCCTCTCACAGCAAGCAGAGCCCAACCCATGTCATATTCACAAATGACTAAACAAAAGGCATGCCAGCTCCAAGCTTCCCGGCGGAGTGACAAGCAAATCCCTCCATATTCAAATCCCTTCTAAAAGTAGACGCTAACCTACACCTTCCATTTTCTGGGCAGAACGTGACAGGTAGGTTGACCAATGCATCATGCTGGGGATGAAGTGTCCAAACCCACTGTTGTCCAAGCCCATTGACCCTGTTCTCCCAGCTGGACCCGAAGAGAAGGAAGATACCTCCTGGCCAACCTAACACGGACTGGCCGTCCTGGGCCCCTGTTGTCGCTGTGCAGTGAGGGCGGGCAAGGACGGGACCCAGTCTCCGGTCCCAGTGGGGTTACCTTTTCGGAATGTCTCCCGGTTTTCCTCTGCTTCTCTGTTGACTCGATTCTGTTCTGGCTCAACCGCAGGTCCCTGGTCTTCGAGCTCATCTTCTGTTTCATCGTCACTATAGGGAACCACTTCGTCATTAGGCTGAGAGTCCTCCTCAAATGTTGTTTCTGAGTCTCTTTCTGAACTCATTCTGCTGGCAAACTGGAACTACCTGGTTTAAAAGAAAGAGAAACCAGAGTGAATGATGACTTGTGCCCAGTTTTTGGTTGAATTCTGCCTGCGTCCCGTCACAATGCCTTTTTAACTGAACATTATTTAAATGAACATGCAAGTATGTCTGAATGATGACCCCCAAGTTCAAATTATCAACCAAATAAGAAGAAAACCTTTCATGGGGCACTTGGGTGGCTCAGTTGGTTAAGCATCTGACTTCAGCTCAGGTCACGACCTCACAATCTCGCAGTTTGTGGGCTGGAGCCCTGCATTAGGTTCTGACATCAGAGCCTGTAGCCTGCTTCAGATTCTGTGTCTCCCTCTCTCTCTCTGCCCGTTCCCTGCTCATTCTCTGTCTCTCTGTCTCTTTCTCTCAAACATAATGAACATTAAAAAATTAATGTTGGAATGAGCAGTGGATGCTGTACATAAACGATAAATCACAGGAATCTACTCCCCAAGCAAAGAGCCCACTGTATACACTGGATGTTAGCTACCTTGACAATACATTATATTTAAAAAAAAATCTTTAAAAGAAGACCACAACCATTCGTTAGTGATTGCATGCTTGAGCAAGAATTAACAACAAAAATGTAGCTGCAAATTTTTTTTTAAGCGTATACAAGCTTTAAGGTAGTATTTCCAACTGTGGGTCTCTACCAAGCAAATTAAATTTAACTCCCAACCCACATTAATAGAAACCAGTAATAGAGTATCGGAGCATTGTAAGTCAGTACCATTTGATGAAACCGTTCGACAAAACACACACACACACACACATTTATTTGCATTGTAGGTCTTGACGCAATTGCATCTTTTACTGCAGGTTGCTGGCTAAGTTTGAGACGCATTGCACGGAGACATCTGGTTTCCGCTAATGCTAATATCTGGAGCCTTTACTCTGTGATACATTTAATGCTTAGATCCTCCTCTTTTACTTCCTGGGAGCTTTCCCTCACCTCTCTTCCTATCACCACCCACACCCCGTATCCAGAATTTGTGTTTGCGTGTACACTGCTGTTTGAGGTGAATGCACAAGTGACGAGCACAACCCTAGTCATATTTATATCAGGAAAATATTGACACAACTACCACGGATCACATGACAATAGCCATGCAGCCTGGCATTATTTATACCAGCATCACATTGCCATGAACTTGACATTGTTAATAACAGCGACTCACATCTGTGTAGTGTTAACTGCACTCGAGGCTCTGCGTGAAGTGCTTCCTAGATGCTGGCTCATTTAAACTCCCCACACGACCCTGGTGAAGGTGCTATTGTTCTTTCTATCTGACAGAGGAGAAAACCAAAACTTTTTTAATAGCTTACACAATAATTATTAAAAATTTGCAGCAAAGGGGCACCTGGCTGGCTGAATCAGTAGAGTATGCGACTTTGATCTCGGGGTCATGATTTCAAGCCCCATGATGGGTGTAGAGCTTACTTTAAAAAAAAATTGCATCAAAAACAATTGCTTTCCAAGGAGAGATCTTCTTTTTTTTTCTTTTTAAAAATTTTTTAATGTTTATTTATTTTTGAGAGAGAGACAGAGTGCGAGCAGGGGAGGGTCAGAGAGAGAGAGGGAGTCACAGAATCTGAAGCAGCAGGCTCGAGGCTCCAAGCTGTCAGCACAGAGGCCAATGCGGGGCTCGAACTCACGAGCCACAAGATCATGACCTGAGCTGAGTCAGATGCTTAACCAACTGAGCCACCCAGGAGCCCCCAAGGAGAGATCTTCTATATTCTACTTTTATGGTACAGTTTCTTATGTTTTAATCAAGGGTTAGTTGCTGTGAGTGGAACTACTTGGCTGATGGCATGCTTTGTACTGAATCTAGCATCTTGGACGTGTGAATTTTTGTAGCCATAATTGAACATGTAGGAAATGTTTACATATTTATATATTATTAATATATATATTATTTATAATATAAATATCTTATATTTTGTCCAGTATTATTTAAAGATAAACCTAGAAGCAGCTTGGATGTTCAATGATTGGTAGCTGTGTAAATAAACTGTGATATCTTCACACTAGGAGACAGAGCACAACTTACATCATGATCCAAAGTGTTTTTAATGATGTTGCAAAAGTCCAAACGTGTTGCGTTGAAAAGTGAGTATATATAGAATAGTCCCAGTTATTCAGACATTTTCTAAAATGTCAGCAATCACCACACATCCTTTAAATGAAACGATGCGGGTAAGGTGCTCGATTCAGTATCTAGCTTACAGTAAATACCCGGTATGGTACTCACAAGACAGTAAGCACTCAAGCGTGAAATCGCTGTTATTTTCAATTCTTTCCACAACTAGAAAAAAATGTTCTTTATAATAACAAATGGAATGGTGTGGGGATTTACCCCTTTAGGCTTTCTATCTCCTGAAATCTCTTCTAAAATGTATCTGCCTCTTGAGAAGGACAAATATTATATGTTTGCACGTATAGGAGGATTAGGAGGAACTTGACGGAGGAACAAGGGGGAGAAGAAGGGGGGAAATGGTGGGGGAAAGGGAGAGAGGCAAACCATGAGAGACTCTTGAATGCTGACAAAAACTGAGGACTGATGGATGTGGGGGGGAGGGGGGGTGGGGCATGGTGGAGGGCGGGCATGGAGGAGGGCACTCGTGGGGATGAGCACTGGGTGTTATGTGGAAACTAATTTGACAACAAACTATTTGTAAAAAAAAATAAATAAATAAATAAAAAATAAAATGTATCTGCCTCTCACCAGGAGGTAAAATATTAGACAATCATAGGACTACACTTAAGCGCAGGTAAATTGTTTTAAAACCTTTTGGTTGCAGTGTGAAATATTTTCCTGCTTTCCCAATTCTCCATGGGCTAATAGGTAACTATAGCTTGGGGTTTTACACATGTCTCATTTGTAGTTTTGTAATATACTGCCACCCATGCTTTAGCTGCTATTTAAATTTAATACACTCTCTTTAAAATTCCCAAAGTCTTAACGGCAAAACTTTTGCCAACCATCTTTCCGAACAAAAATACAATAGAAGTGGTTACCATTTATCGACACTCACTGTGTGTCAAGCAGAGCCACCCTGTGAGATAGATAATATTATCCCATCTTACAGATAGGGACACTGAGGACCAGCTGCTAAGGGGCATAAGTTAGGATCTCATGTCTCCATTATAGGGACGTGTACAATATTAACGAGTCTGAAAGCACCATATAGAAACAATTTTTTTTATTGTAGTATGTAACATAAAATTCACTGCTTTAACCGTTTTTAGGCGTCCAGGTCAGGGGCGTTCAGTGCATTCTAGAAACATTTTGCCGGTGATTGTTTCCCTCGTCATTGTTATTGCCAAGTGTCTCCCTGCTTATTTCCCATATTAAGACTGGATCCAGTCTTTCGAGGTTGAGGGAGGAGACAGACACAGAGGAGTGGATTCAACAGCCAGGAGGATGCGATCCAGGGAAAGCAAAGGCATTGCACAAGCAGCCAGCTCAGCACTAGAACATCCACCCAAAGCCAGACTGTGTGGGCCGCTTGGAGAGCAGAGCTCCGAGCTGAGAGGAAGTTCTCTGCAGCGTGTGTGTGTGTGTGTGTGTGTGTGTGTGTGTAATGTAGACACACATGGGAACCCTTTAGCTCTCTCATCATTGGACTACCAAAGAAAAATTGGGAAGAAATCATTTCTTTGAAGCCCTGAGTGACGTAAGCCACTTTCCTGCTCTAAGCCACGGTGCCATGAAGGCGGACACTATCTAGAGTATGGATTTGGAAACTTTGTCACATCTCTCACCACCCCTGCAGCGCCTTGTGGCCCTGGGTGCACTTACTCAGCCTTCGTTAAGCACCTTCCAGGTGCAGATTACCACCCAGGCACTGGGAACAGACCCTTTGGAGACTTCCAAAGTCGTTCAGGGACACAGGTAAATAAACTATACACCACAGCCTCGAGACACAACAAGGCCAGTCGTTCCTGCCTAAACACACATCTCCGGGCCATTCCCTCCTCTCTGCCTCCAAGGCCACCTCCCTCATTCAGACTGCCACCATCTCTCTACTGCAATGCTGCAGACACACTCTTTTCTTTTTTAATGTTTTCATTTATTTCTGAGAGAGAGAGAGACAGCGTGGGCAGGGGAGGGTCAGAGAGAGAGGGAGACACAGAACTGGAAGCAGGCTCCAGGCTCCGAGCTGGCTGTCAGCACAGAGCCCGATGCGGGGCTCGAACCCACGAACCGCGAGATCATGACCTGAGCCACCCAGGCGCCCCTGCCAAATACGCTCTAATTGGACTTCTGCAATCAACTTCCAAACAGCACCCAGCATCATGCCACTCTCCTGCTTGGACCCTTCCTGTGTGTTATGGACAAAGCCCTGTCCCCTTAAAAAAATCATGGGCTAGAACCCTAACCCCCAATGTGACTGTGTGTGGAGATCTGGCCTTTAAGGCGGTAATTAAGGCTAAATAATTTTATAAGGGTGAGACCCTAACCTGACAGGTCTGGTGTCCATATAAGACAAGAAAGAGACATCAGAGAGCGCCCTCTTTCCGTGCACGCACAAAGGAAAGGCCACAGCAAGATGGTGACCATCTACAAGCCACGAAAACGGCCTCACCAGAAACTAACCCTGCTGGCACCTCAATCGTGGACTTCCAGGTTTCAGAAATGTGAGAAAACGTCTGTGGTTTAAGCCACCTAGTTGGTAGTACTTTGCTATGGCAGTCCAAGCAGATTCAGACACTGTGGGTTCCCACTACTCTTTAAACTAAATCCAGCTTTCCCCCAACTCTGGGAGCTCTGCACACTTCTACAACTTCTTTCTTCCTCACTAATCCTCAGGCCCGTGGTCTTGCTTTCAACTTGAGCAAGTGAAACCTTTCCTGCCTCAGGGCCTTTGCACATGCCCTCCTACTGCCTGAAATGCTCTTTTCTCAGTTCTCTCTGTGGCTACTATTTCTCAGTCTTTAGATCTCAAATTCTACATCCACTTTCACTGATGGTGTTAAACGGGTG